TCCCTGCCTGCAGCTTCTCCACCTCTCCCTTCCGACACAGCCTTTCCCCCCGAAACCACGGTGCTCCCAGGGGGAGGCTAACAATCGTGTCCTCTCTGCTGACCTGGCAGCCAAAGGAAGACTCATCAGGCAATGAGGCATAGGATAGACTAAGCCTAGAGAGCTATAGCAGAAGACAGGGAGCCTTTTGTCTACTAAGAATGAAGAAGGCCTGGCTGGTGTGGCTCAGTGGCTGAGTGCTGGCCTGCAAACCAAAGGGTCTGATGGTTCGATTCCCACTCAGGGCACATGCCTGGATTGCAGGCCAGATCCCCAGTAGGGGGTGCTCAAGAGGCAACCACACATTGATGTTTCTCTCCTTCTCTTTCGCCCTCCCTTCCTCTCTCTAAAAATAAATAAATAAAATCTTTCTAAAAGTAAATAAATAAAATCTTTTTAACAAAGGGTAAGAATAAAGAATGAAGCTACATATACACTATACATATATGATATCTGTAATGCAGTGAGTTATTATTTGGCAGATGCTGTGCTAACATGCATTTTCTCATTTAATTCTCACAAGGGCCCAGTAAATAAAGTCAGATTATCATCTCCATTTTAAACATGAGAAAGCAGAATCCAAGAGGGGCTACATAACTTGCCCCAGTCACAAAACTAGGGAACAGAGAAGTGAGAATTTGAGCCCAGACAGTATGACCCTAGAGCGTACACTCTTACCTGTCTAAGGCCATATCCCCCTATCTGATGAAACGTGTTGCTGAAACAATCCAAGAACGAAGTAGTTAGGGCTGAGCTAGTGATTAGTAGTGAAAAGGAAATGGGAGATGGGACCTTACAAGGAAGCAAACGACAGAACTTACTGATTATGAGCTACTGTATATGGGGGTCAGCAAGAGTGCAGAACGGCCATTTCTTAAGTGTTGGGGCCATGAGACCATTGGCCAGAATACGGGAATCACAGGGGTGAGTCCAGAGGGAAAAGATGAGTCACATTTCAGGTGTGTCGCATTTGGGAAGATGAAAAGACATAGCCACGCAGACATTCTAGTGTGCAGCTAAGGTAGATTTAAAACCTTAGGAGAGGGGAAAGGACCTGAGCTACAGATTTTGAAATGATCTCACTTAAAATGGTTGTTGGAAGCAACGAAACTACTCACCTCTCCAAGGTGAAAAAGAAAAGGACCAAGCGTTGGCAGTCAGCAACGGCTGAGCGGCGGAGGAGGAGAGGCTGGATGAGAACCAGGACAGGGTCATCTCACGCAGTCAGACAGAGGCGAGTTTGGAGAAGACAGCGGGCTGACTTCTTTGTTCACTCTGCCCTCCAGGGTCACCGCGTTCGCACCCACTACTTGAACTGTCATTCACCCATATTGCCTGCCTTGCATCTAACCTCCACTGTCACATTTCCAACGGCCTCATTTTATCTCTACCTGGATTTCTCAAGGGCATCTCAAATTCAACAGGCTCCTAAGTCTAACTCTACCTCTCAAAACATGGTCTTCTTCCAGTCTTCCCCATCCCAGAAAGTAGCACCCAGCTAGCTACACAAACCAGAAAACCTATGGACAATCGATGACCTGTCTGTCTCTTACACATCAACCCCATCCAATACACATTTAACCCCATCCAATACACATTCAAAACCCTTTAAGGGTTTTATCCCCTAAATGTCTCCACCTGTCTCTTTCTTGCTATCCCTTGCTATGTAGCATCCTAGCCTAAGCCATCACCGTCTTCCACCTGGAATACTGCGACTGCCTCCCACTTGGACTTCACATGTAACCTTGCCCTCCTCAAATCCATTCTGCTCCATGCAGCCAAAATGAAATTTTCAGTGCAAACCTGAGTATGTCATAGAACACATCCCAATTGTCACTCGAATTCTCAGTTCTCAGGATAGGGTCAAATCTTTTGCCTGGGCCTACATGACCTACATGATTTTGCCGTGGCCTAGCTCTCTGGTCTCATAGTTACCCTCTTTCTCTTTACTGGTCTTATTTCAATTTCTTGAATCTCCAAGCTTCCACTCCCACAGGCTTTCGCATATGCCTTTCCCTCTGCCTAGAAAACTCCATTCACCCCATCTCTCCCCTCCATGTCCTTTCCCCTACTTATCCTTCAGTTCTTGGTTCAGTGACAGAGTCAGTTCTCCCTATTATTAGATGTTTCCATCGGACCCTTGGCCTCTCCTTAGCACTGAACACAATCGTAAGTTTACAATAATTTCGGATTGTCTGACCAATGTCAATTTCTCTTATCAGATGGGAAGCTTCAGAAGGGCAGGGATCGTGTCTTTTTATTCATCATCAAATCACCAAGGCACAGTACCTAACGTAAGTGTTCAACAAATATTTGCTGACTACATTATCAAATACCCTTAAAAAAAAGTAAAAGAGAATAAGGACTGAGTGAAACAACTCAAGCTGACCACTAAGATCAGCGCCCTTTGAAGAGCATTTGAATATGCTGATAAAGGCCGAATCCAGAATCAGGGACTTGGGGAACTGAGCAATAGCAGTAGGGGAGAGAGACTGAACCAAAAGGCTGACAGCAGGGGGCAGCAGTGTCAAAGGAGAGCTGTTCGTTTTCCTGTTGCTTTTCCTTATGCCTGGGTCACTCCCCAGTTTGGGGAAGACTTAAAGAGGGGAAAATGGAAAATGTTAGAGATAGGACGAGTTAGCTAAGAGAGGACTAAAGTTGAAGAGCTTTGAAAATGTCAACAAAGGGGTGAGGTAAGCACAGATCCCATAAAGGAGTGATTAATTTAAGCATGACATAACCAGTGGAAAGTAATATTTTAAAGCATAGGTAAAGATGCTGATGGGTTAGTAAACCAGCTAGACATAATGAGGGCGAATGTCTGGAAGATAGCTGTGTTACAAAAAGAGAGGTAAGGCAACTAGGCTAAACTACATCACTTAGATATAATCAGAAAAACCCAAATTATGGGAAACTCCACGGGACCAGCATGGTTCTCTTCAAGGAATAAATTGCAAGGGCAAAAATGAAGGAAGAAGTTATAGAACAAAAGAAACTTAAAAGACATCTCAACCAATCACAACACATGGACTTGATTGGACCTTGATTCAAAGAAGCAAAGAAGAAAATTACAAGTAGAAAGCAGAACACTGGATGATATTAAGGAAATACATGAAATATTTTAGATATGGTCATTGTACTGTGGTTATGTTTTAAAAGGTCCTTTAAAAAGAAATTGTACTGAAACACTTATAGATTTCAGATGCCTGGTATTTGCTTCAAAGTGATACAAGAGGAAGTACATGGATAGTAATATAATATAGAAACAACAAGATTGGTCATGAGTTAATTGTTGCCACCTGGTATGAAGTTGCTGGGGCTTCGTGGGCTTCATTACATACAATTTTTTATATGCTTGAAATTTTCTTTAATGATTTTTTTAAAGAAGCAATTTGGTTTGCAAGAACAGGGTTTTCTTCCATATACTGTATTTTAGATGGCCTTGGTTAAGATTTCTTGATGTGGGTTGGGGGATTTAAGGAACCATGAGAATAATTAAATCAGTTCTAGGTAAAGTTGGAGGATGAAGAATCCACCATAAACAATGATTCAGTTGTACACAAGATACCACTTGAAATATGACAAGTTATCGATTAGAGGTTTTCAGAGATCAAGTTCTAACATGAAACCTAACAAGAAACTAATGGGGAGAGTGTTAAGGAGTATGTTCAATGATCAAAGCAATCAGTAAGAAAATTGACTGTTTACTCCAATTCCTGAGACAGACTGGCTGGAGATTCAATGCCAGAGAAAAATCATGCAGGTATAGATGACCAAACCTGATCATGGGACATTTGTTCACGAGGAAAGAAGAGACTGTGCGCACTAGTGTTAGGACATTGGAGACTTAGGGGCAGGGCCATTCACATCTTCACAACCACTTCCATCATTTTCTCCTTTCTGTTTCTTTCCTCCAACAAACCCAAAGTGCCCTAGAGGTAATGCAAAGGCCCTGAGACAAAGGAGGATTAAGAGGCAACGTGAAGTATTGAGAGGAAAACATCTTTCTCTCATTAAATCCTGGATTTAAGAAACGGTGTAAATTAGTCAACCAGCATCTGCCTATTTGTGTGAGGACCAGCTGTTCTGGGCAGCGACCAGGCTATGGAGTTTTGGGGGGACCTCCACTCTGTTTCTTTTCTAGGTCTCATCCTCAGCAATCCCAAAGCACTAGACATTTTTTCTCGGGTTCATATTTTTAAGAGTAAGACTAAGTGAAGGAGTAGATGGGAGCATTCCGCAGGAACACCGGAGGTGAGTGGTTGGTCGTTGGGCAAGGAGCTCAGTTTGAGAGTAGCGTTAGTGGGACTGGAGACACTGCACTCCATCAGATCAGAGAGCATGTGAGCCTCGGAAAGGCCTCCACGCGCCTCTGAGCCTTCATACAGAGCCCGCGTGTCAGACTCGGGTGGACTGGCCGAGGCGCAAAGGCGGGATCGGGGTCACAACTCCGACCGCACCGAGAACCATCCGACGCCACCGATCCCTCAGCCGCGCAGAGTCGGGAAGCGTGAAGACTAACGTCCTGAGGTGGGCGGGGCCGCCTTTCCAAAAGCCCAGCTACCTCGCGGTTTACAAAGGCTTGAGAGTCCCGCTACTCTGCGTCTGGTTGGCAGGGCAACAAAGCAACGGTTCCGGGTTCGCGCTTAGATGCCGCGGGGTTTGGACATTCCCAATCCAGCCACAAATCCCGAACATCTTCCTGCCTGAGAGGCGGGCCAAAAAATTTAAACCAATCAGAATGTATAAATGGAAGGCGTTTACCCTAAGAACCAATAGAAGGGCTGGAGGGCAGGACCGAGGGCGCCAGTTGGTTCTTGTTGTTTAAACCTCGGCGGCCTCTGAGCTGGGAGGACAGTACGCCTGCGCAAGCTGCGGAACGCCAACGGGCACTTGCGGGGCCACAGGACCCGGTGGCGATCGTTTCTGCTTGGGTAAACAAGGTAGGATGAGAGCGGTGGAGCCCGGCCTTGAGGGCTGCCGGCTGCTGGGGAGAGGTTGGGGCTGAGTACGACCTGCCGGGGTATCGATCCCCTGGCGCGCAGACCCAAGCCGGGACACAGGGACCGCCCAGGTACGCGGCTTCTTCTAGTGCCGGTTGAGGCGCCGCGCGGGTCCTGGGCGGCAGAGCCCCCTAAATCAGCGTGCCCGGGGCTTAGCGAGGTGGACGGGCCAGGGACCAGGTGGACGGGCGCAGCGAGAGAGCTGGTCTTCCCTGAGGCCACGAGCATCGCAGACAGGCGACACCTGGTGTGGGCCAGGTAGTGCGGACTGCGGGTCTTTCTGTAAACGGACCAAAAAGGCTTCTCACCCTCTAGTGACAACATTAGTGAACTAATGGGTGTAACCGTGCGCGAAAACTCTTTGTGGTGTTAGGATGGAGCGTGAAATTCAACCCCACCGTCCTACCATAGAATGAAAATAACCTTTCCCCCTCGGTTATAAAAATTACACAGTCTCATAGTTTTCATAAGTAAATCGAGCAGTATTAGGTATGTATAAAGAAAAATGGAACTAGAAATTCCATCAGCCCCAAAATTTCACATTTGGATTTAATGCAAACCTCTTCATTATGGATATATATTTACATGATTAGACTTAGGAAATGTGTTTCTATGTAACTATATTTTGGACATAATAAAACATTTATTTAAAAAACAGATTATGCCTTAGTAATATTTTAGGAACACATCTGTCAAATATAGATATGTATTACCACTTTTAATGCATGCATGGACTTTCTTGCTATGGCTGCACTGTGACTTACATTATCTAACCGATCCCCTAGTGTCGGATGTTTATCTTCCAGTTCCTTCATCATCATAGAATAGCATGGTAGTGGTTATTCGTATGCATAATCGTTTGCATTCTTACCCAGTTTGTCTCCTTAGAATAGTTCCTGGAAGTGGATGATGGTTTAGAAATTATGGCACAGTTTAAATTCTGATTCATAATGACAAACTGTGCTCTAGAAAAATTTATGCCCCCTGTCCATCCCACCCACCCACACACACATCCAGTGCGAGGTTGCTCTTTTCTCCACACACTGACCAGCACAGGGTACTGAACATTTTACCAATGTAGAAGGATGTGCTAATGTGTTTATTTGCATTATTAATGAGACTAAACATCTTTTCCTGTTATTCCTTTGGTAAATCATCTGTCTTTTCTTTATTCTGTGGGTGTGTGTACCTTTTTATCAGCTAAGAGGAATTTGAATTAGTGATTTGGAACCTGGTACAAATATCTCCCCATTTGTTGACTCTTTCAGTTAGGGTTCCTTTTTGGGGTATTTTTTTCTATTGTTTTGTTCTAATATTTGGATCTTTAAGCTGTATCTGACTCCCCAGAGGTGAAGAATGTGTTTTAACTCTACAGTAGCCTCCCTGTAATGGCTGGAATCTAGGCACCGACCCCACCTACCCCCTCCACCCTCCAAATCCTTTCACTTGAAACTACCTATATAGGATACCAATTGCTTAAGATTTTTGAAGGGAGGGTACTGTAGGGTGTTTCGTTAATATTGTCTATAATTATTCATGAAATAAAAGGTCTTCTAGCCTCTGTATGAAAGTTTCCTTCTAAGAGAAAGGATTATCAATCAGGTCTTTATATTAGCAAGTGCTTCTTTTTAATACAAAGAACTGACAGTTACCTACGGACCATATTAAAGTTTAGGTTTTATTATTTGTAAACACCTACCCTCATATGTTCAAAAACAGGAGTGTGCTCTAATTTAAATGTAAATAAAGGAATATGTACATGAAAATCACTGCTCTACAGATTTTTCCAGTGCTTCCAGTACTGTAGAGCAGTGATTTTCAACCCAAGCACTGTAGCACAAGAATTTTTTTCTTTTTTTTAGAGAGGGGAAGGGAGGGAGAGAAACATTTATCAGTTGCCTCTCACACACCCCCAAATGGGGACCTGGCTTGCAACCCAGGCACATGCCCTGACTGGGAATCGAACTGGTGTCCTCTTGGTTTGCAGTCTGGCGCTCAGTCCACCGAGTCACGCCAGCCAGGGCACAAGAATTTTAAACCATGCAATACCTGACTAGTCAGGGACATTGACCTCTTCTCCCTTTGTTAAATACAAAAATGACAACAGCAAACACAGCAGTAGCCACCTGGTGTGAATAAATCAAAATAATACTTATTTTTTTGTCAGGTCAGCAAAAAACATTTTTTGGTGTGCTGCAGAATTTTAATTAGTTTGTATGTGCCATGAGATGAAAAAGGTGGGCAATCGCTGCTCTATATTATAGAACACAGAAGACTCTCTTCAGCTTTCGTGTTGGGATTCCTCCTTGTTCAGTCTTACTCCATTTCTGCCCCTACCTTGTTTTCTGCTCATCTTTATCTTGCAGGAACATTGAAAAGCTGTTTTGTTTATATATATTTATTGACAAATAAAATCTCATTTACAGTTCAAAACCTATTGAAATAATTCCTTCCGCTTTACAGTGGAGAAAGTAAGATGTAAGCCCTACTTCTGACATTTGGTCCCTACCGTGCTCAGAGCCTGGGGAATTTATATAAATATTACCTCACATCAGTGAAGTAATTGGCAAAGTTAAATTTTGGGACTTCTCGCTTGCTTCTTCCATGATGGTTGTCCTGAGTTGTTTTCTGTCGTTAACTACCAAGGATGATGCCACTAAAATCTGACTCTAGATTTGACAGTGTAACCTAGGTAAACCTGAAGGAGATTAAGCCCCGATCCTCTACTCTTTGCATCTGCAGACTCCCAAGCATGACTTTTTAGTGCTTTTTGTTCCATGTATCGTTTCTTCAGAGTTGATTTTCAAAAATCAGGAATGATTTGTTACTTTTATTTTTCAGTTACAGTTGACATTCAATATTATATTTGTTCAGGTGTACAGCATGGTGGTCAGACAATGGTATAATTTACCAAGTGACCCCCTGATTATTCTGGTACCCACCTGGCACCAGTTATTCCAGTTTTATTGTCTGCATTCCCTGTACATCCATGTGACTGCTCTGTAGCTTCTTAGTCCCTCCCCTTTTCCACCCAGTCTCCCCACCCCTTTCCATTTGGCAACCCTGAGTGTGTTCTCTGCATCTGTGAGTCTGTTTCTGCTTTGTTGGTTTGTTCATTTTGTTCTTTAGATTCTACATGTAAGTGAAGTCACATGGCATTTGTCTTTCTCTGTTTGACAGTTCACTTAGCATAGTCTTCTCCAGGTCCATCCATGTTGCTGTTTCAGATGGGCTTCAAATCTGAAACCTGGAAGTTCTGAAAGCCTCCTTATTCTTGAGCCTCCCATTCATTCACCACAAGCCCTGTTGACCCTTTCCTAATCTCAAATTCCTGTACTCCTGTCTGTTCCTTTTACAACAGATCTAGTCTAGGCCATTACTTTCAGGATTACTCCAACAGCCTCCACTTGGTCCCACTAGCTTGCCCTCTTCTTTTGGTCCACAGTATACACTGCGCAATTCTGGCTTCTAATTTTTTTTTTTTCAGGGGTGCCTCAAGATAAAAACCTAAGCCTTTTTAGGAAGGCCTGCAAGGCTCTACAGACATGACCCTTGCTTACCTTTCTAGACTGCTGTTGTCACTCTCAAACCATACTACACATTTACAGTTACCTGAAAGCAATGTGGTCATCTTTACACAAATTGCATCTCTGCCTGAGCTACGTTAAAGCCCTGCTGCTCTGTCTCCACTTCAGCTGGCTCCCATCTGCTCTGCAAGCTTTAGCTTAGGTTCTGTGAGAGCTTTCCTTAAACCACTAGACCAGGGGTTGGCAAACTCCATGGCCTGTGGGCCAACCATGTTTTTTACGTGTGTAAAAGGTTGGAGAAAAAACACGCAGCAGAGACCACTTGTGGCTCACACAGCACCAGACTGCTAGGCTTTGTAGGAGATGCTGTACCTCACTGAGGTCACTGTCACCTAGTATTGTGCCTGGCACTGCACCAATTTATCAAATATTGAACTGACTGAACCCTGGGTGGTGTGGCTCAGTGGTTGAGTGCCAGCCTGTGAATCAAAGGGTCAACTCCCAGTCCAGGGCACATGCCTGGGGTGTGGGCCAGGTCCCCAGTAGGGGTGTGTGAGAGGCAACCACACATTGTTTCTCTTCTTCTCTTTCTCCCTCCCTTCCCCTCTCTGAAAAATAAATAAGTAAAATCTTTTAACTGACTAAATTTAATTTTTTTAATTTGTCCTAGAAAATAAGACACTGAGGCAGTGTTCTCTATGCAAACTCACATGGGTAGTGAACATCTTACTTGCTTTTTAAAAGGATAGCATGGCAAAGTAGACACTTGCAGGCGCGCTTTAACACACTGCACACAGGGCCCAGGTTTCGGTGTGTGTAAACAATCTCCACTTCACACTTGCTTCTTCCGTCTCTGAATCCCTTTGGACAGGAACGAGAGAATTGATCTGCTTTTCAGGCAAGAACTTCCTGAAGTGGGGCCTGTGATCTTTTCGGTTTCCCTTTTTTTTTTTTTAAGAGCTGATCATTTGAATTCTAGGACTCACTGCAGTAAATACTGTATTTCCTTCCTACGCACCTATCGTTAGCTAGTTGTTGCCTCCTAGATCCTGGTGAGTTTCCTGTGGTTAAATGATGCTTTTAATTTCCGCATCAACACAGACTCTCTTTGTTGGTTTCTCCAAAGCAGTATTTTCTTCCTCTAGTGTGTCGTTACATTCCCTTTTGGCTTTTGTTTCTGTCTCGTTGAATAAGCGCGGGTACTCGATGCGTCCCCTACGTACACAATGCTGAATCCGGGACTCCAGTCCTTGGCATTTGGGACGGTCCATTAGGGGCTTGTATGTGCGCATTTTCACCCCTTCTACAAAGGCACTGGTGTGCTTTATGACAGGGGGCTTAACACTTCTCCATTCTATCACTCCTTCCGCCTCTGTTCCTACAACAAATACATACAGCCAGTCATTACACGGGTACTTGACCACCACAGAATCCCCTCCAAACTTCGTACGCACCTACCTCCCCATGACCCTGTATAACGTGGTTCTGGTAAGTAATTCCACCGGCGGATTGCCCTGCCGTACCTGTCCCACAGGGCACTGCAACGGAGTCGAGGCCTTGCAGCATACTGTACAGCAGGTGAGTCTTCACAGCTTGATTTGCCCACTGTTGCTGCAGATGGGTGACATTGAACTCCTGAACCTCCCGGTCATAGATCCACTTGATATTTTCAAACTTACAGTCGTATAAGACCAGAGGAAATTCTACAGCCATACTAGAGAGAGAGAGAGACAAAACAGTATGAGTACACACAGCAGCCACCTAACACTTCTTGAAAAACAGGGTTAGTTGTGTTAAAAGGAGGGGGAGACTTTGTCAATATTAAGTATCTAACAGGTAAGAAAATACAACACTATCCCTAACCTTGTACAACATTATCACTAAAAAAAAACAAAACAACCAAACAAAAAACCCAGGAGTCAACTGACTGGGCTTGATCTATATCAGGGTAAATTTCAGTGGTATCAGGTCACCTAGAAGTGAGTTGACTGGGCTCCACTCAGTGGAGCCATAAAATTGGCCAATATTGGCCATAAAATTAAAAAGAGTTGACGGTGTTTTTCCAAACTTCCATGTAGTTTGAGGTAAAAACTAACTTACAGATTTCACTACTTGGGAATGAATTATTGGTCTGTCTGACCTCAGCTGCTCTCAGAAGGAAAGCCGACAAAGTTCCCTACTTTTCCTACCATTTCAGCAACTGAGAACTAGGAATAATCCCAACGTGCAGTGGCGTGATGGCTCCATAATACAGAGGGAGCAAGATTTAATATGAGTAGTTTGAATGACCACTGTTTAACTTGAGCAGAACCTAACACCTCTTAAGGTAAATTCAAGGGGGAAAAATTATAGAAACAAATGTGCTTTTACTTAAGGGCCTGGTCCAAACACCTGTTTATTACTACTGGGATGGACAGGAAACAGAAGGAAATTCATTCAAAGATACAGCTCCCTCCCATGTGTTCATGACATTCTAGAAGTTAGACTAAAAGCTTCATGAAGAAAGATTCAGTAACTTAGTTATTGAAACAACTGTGGAGAGAGAAAGATATGTTAGAATATATTTTAAAATAATTTAGGGCAATAGCTGTTTTGTTACTATTTTTCAAATTTACCTGTATTGAGGTTTCTGGGGATTTTTCTCTACGTTTAGCAGCTCATCGATAATCTCTGGCTTCTCCATTCCTTGGCCAATTAGAAAAAGGACCGCCATCATGCAGCGGACTTGATGGTAAAGGAACGCCTGGCCAGTCACTTCAAACTGACATAACTGGAAAGGTTCTTGCCATCCGTCCTCAGCCAGGCTCTGGCCCACGAGCTTCACTTCAGCAGACAGAATAGTCCTTTGAAAATTAATCACTCCGTTAGCTACATCCATTTTACACAGGTTCCTAAAGTCGTGTGTGCCAACATACTTGTGAGCCGCACAGTTCATGGTCACAATGTCTAAATCTGCTCGAGGGAAAAAGTAGCGGTACGTCCGCTCCAGACAGCTGAACCTAGCACTGAAGCTAGGTTCCACAGGGGCCCAGGCCAGCACTCGGATGTCTGGAGGCAGCACGCGATTGAGGATGTGAGTATAACGGATCTCTTTAGCAGCATCGCTGACTCCGTTTTTTACGTTAAAATCCTCTGAATCCCTGTCCTTTGGGAAGTGAGACCGAAGGTCAAGAGAAATCACCTGTGGAATCAGAGAAAGATACTGTGTTAAGATACACATCATCTGGATCCTCAGTATGGACACCTGGAATATATCGGTGTCACCTGCTTTGAGAAACAGCGCAGTGACTCTTACCTGACCGAAGGCACTAACCCCTTTGTCTGTTCGCCCGCACCGGTGATAGTTGGATGTCTGTCTGCTTTCCACTAGTCGAGTCTTGGTCAGAGCCTCAAACAGTTTCTCCTCAACTGTATTGTTTGTGTTTTCCTGGCTGGCAAAGCCCTGGTATCCCCAGCCCAGATAGGCTATCTTCAGGGCTACGTGCCTCCGCCCGTGAGCGCTGAAATCAAACGCACGCTTAGCCTTCCCGGCTCCCGAAGAGCTTTCTCTGATATTCGAATCCTTGGTGTTGGCCCGTTCTTTTCTAAGTCTTTGTACCTCCTGCTCCAGTTCTTGTACTCTTTTTAGGAGTCTGTCAGTCTGGGTTCTGTCAGTGTCGTTTTCAGCCATGACAAGACAACCCCAGGAACACGTGCATCATGTGGGGTCCACACCACCTGCGAAGAGAGTAAAAGGACTCAGTGCTGGTCCCTTTGCTTTTCCCAGGACACAAGCATTACCTTAATTGTTACAGGTTGACCATCCAGATACTAATCTTTTCCATCTGGGGTGGCCAATTCAGAAAGAAAACTAGTATCAAAAATAATCAGCTGCCATTGTTAAGGTTTAAATAGAATTTAGAAAAATCAGTTGTAGATTTCATGTTTCTGTTGTTCATTTGCTGAGATGATTAAGGACTAATGTTACTGATATTTTTCCCCTAAGACATTTCCTTTTGACTTCTCATTACATTTGTGTGATCTTTCTAATGGAGATCTGTTGATACAGAACATACACGTCTACCGTGAGTGTTGCTTTCAGGACCTCAGATGAAATCAGTGGCTTGTGTGTTCTGTCATCTAACACTCAGTTCTGTCTTGAAGGTGGTGCGATAGAAGCTGGTCTCATTGAAGACATCTGTCGATGATTGTGCTTTATATTGCAAGTAGAACCTGGAGTCAAGATTTCCCCACTTTAAGCAATTTTGATGGCAGAAAGAAGGTAACGAAACAGAATGATCCTTTTTTAAAGTCAAATTTAATGCATGTTTTGAAAAAAGTTCTCTGTACCTCTAGCAGTTAGAAAAGTTAGATGATGTAATTTAAATATCAGTGTTGAAACTCCCGGCATATTTCAGTAACCTGAGGACAACTGTACTGCATCCTTAAGGACGGTACTAGACAGCCTATGGCTGATCATTACGTTAGTAATAGAAGATCATTTCTACCTCTGCTCTGAGGCTGACTGTGTTTTCCAAGTTCAGGTAACTCATCTAGTGTTTTGCCCTTTGAGTTTCTATATCTATGAAAAATTAAAATTTCAATTAAAAGTGAAACTGTAAAAGCCCTAGAAGAATACATGAAATAACTCTCTTAACATCTTGGAGCGGTAAAGGCATTTCTAAGTTAAACACCACAGGGACACAGACACTGTAGCAAACCAAAATATGACTACCCAAAAGGAAAAGTTTCCTCCAGTAAAAAATAAAGTCAGACGAAAAAAAATTAATGATGGTAAGAGGCAAACTTCAACTTCCTTAATATATAAGTACTTCATGGATATATAAATCAGTTTTAATATAAAAATGAATAAGCAAAAGTCCCAACAACCCGATGGGTAAGTGGGAAAAGGACAAGCATTTTACACCAAGAGGAGGGGGTAAAAGCTTATAAATGTATGAAAACACGCTGAATTTTATTCAGTTTAAATGAACGCCAAATTTATATGAGAACCCTTTTTTTTTTTTAAAACCAAACAAACTGCAAAGACTGGGAATTTGATAGCACCCCGCATCGGAAGAGGAATGGAGGAAGCAGCTCCGTAACACACTATTGGCACCACTTCTTTAGGAGGCATTTGGTGACAGCCGTCAAAACTGAGCACACACGTACCTTTTGACCCACCTGTTCCCCTTCTAGAAATTTAACATACACCTATGCTTGCACAAGTATGTAAAAATTCGTAAGATACTCGCTGTAATCTTTTTTTTTTAACAGCAAATGACTATAAGCCTAAAATAAATCAATCATGGAGTATTTTAAAAATTACAGTACATCCATACATTGGAATTCTATGCAGCTTACTACCTGTGCAACCGTGGGCTAAGTCACCTCATGTCTGTATGCCTCGTCTCACTCGTCTGTGAAAGGAGATCATCAGAGTACCTGTCCCACAGTTGTGTGGACTGCAGGAACTGGTGAATGTAAAGCACACAGAATAATGCTGGATACATGAAGTGTCCCTCTCAGCACAAATGTACATTATGTACATGTGCATAATGTACATTAGGTATTATGCCCCATATCATGGAGTCTCAGGCTCTCCTTATGCCAGAACTCCCCTGTCCCGTCTTAGCAGGCCCTAAAGGTGAACTACTAGGTAGTAGAAGGTGGGAGTAAATAAGAAGAGAGTGGACATGAAACCAGGTAATAGCTTCTCCAGAACTGAGTTAATGCCCCTCCCCACAAAAAACCATTCCTGTACCAGCTACATTTTATTATGTAACTTGTAGTTATGATTGCCTTAGCCATTCTTTCTTCATGTCACTGCTACAGAATAACAGACAAGAGGGGAGTGAACAATTTGTGGGCTGGGAATTTATTATTAGAAAACTGATCAGCGTTTTCTCTTGCAGAAGGTCCTACAGTCTAGGGGAAGCCATGGAGGAACTCATGGGGCCTAGTGGACAAAAATGGGCCAATATGGATCCAGAAGAACGAATGTTAGCAGCTGCGACAGCCTTCACCCACATCTGTGCAGGGCAGGGTGAGGGTGATGCCAGGAGAGAGGCCCAGTCTACCCAGTATGATCCCTACAGCAAAGCCTCAGTAACCCCAGGAAGGCGACCCCCTCTTCCTGCGCACCTGCAGTACCCACATGCAAAAAGTAACGTCACTGCAGAAACAGCCTCGGAGGCCTCCCAAAGACTCCGGAAGCCAGTGATGAAGAGAAAGGTGCTGCGTAGGAAGCCGGATGGGGAAGTATTAGTGACAGATGAGTCAATTATCAGTGAATCAGAGACTGGTACAGAAAGTGACATGGATCTCTGGGACTTAAGACAAAGGTTGATGAACCTGCAGTTCCAGAAAGACAGGGAATCCCCTGTTGATGTTCCAGAAAAATTTAATCTACCACATGAATACCAAGGAATTTCTCAAGATCAGCTCACTTGCTATCTGCGAAGAGAAGAGATGGGCCCTCCAGCTTATGAACAAGACCTGATCGTTGCCAGCCGACCCAAGTCCTTTATTCTCCCAAGGCTGGATCAGTTAAGCCGAAACCGGGGCAAGATCGACCGGGTGGCCCGCTATTTTGAGTACAAACGAGACTGGGACTCGATACGGTTACCTGGTGAGGACCACAGGAAGGAATTACGGTGGGGCGTCCGAGAACAGATGCTTTGTCAGAGAGCCGAACCCCAACCCAAGCCTCAGCACATATACGTCCCAAACAACTATCTTGTACCCACTGAGAAGAAAAGGTCTGCCCTCCGCTGGGGTATTCGTTGTGACCTTGCAAATGGTGTCATGCCCAGGAAGCTTCCCTCTCCCCTTTCTCCTTCTTAAGGCTTTTTTAAAACCTGTGTCTCCGTTCAACATGATGGTACAACCTGGTACTCTACATCTTTCCTTTTATTTAAGTAGAAACAATGTGGGAGCCCGAGCAGAGTCATGGCAGAGGAAGAAAAATAGACCTGCTCTTTCTACCTGACAGACGAGTGAGCAAAATCAGTGAGCACTGTTTCGGTCCTGTACTCTTTTTACCTTTGGCCAAGGCGAGTTGCTGTTTTAATTAGTGTGTTTTTAAAGTTGCTGGGCGTTAAGCTTATCCATTAAAGAATGTTGCACATTTGTGGACTTGCCCTTATTTTTACTTAAATACTTCCCAAAGTAAGATGATTTCAAAGCTGGGTTATGATTTTGCTTCCAATTGTACTCCCATCATACTCTTGCCCCTAAATGATGAGAGAGCCACAGGGAAGGAGCAAAACCTGCTCTTCACACACCCACACCTATGGGGAGAGGAGAGGCAACGGCACAGCTACCAACACTGGTAAACACTGATATCCACTCTTTAACATATGCTCAACAGCCCTGTATGACAGAGTTCTAGACTGTTCTGTTTCCATATTATTTAAATATACTGCCCTCCACTTGCTACTTATAGAATTCCATGCTTTTATAATGTGCCACTAGGTTGTCTTAGAAATGATGCCCGTCACTTGAAGGCTATTCCCTTTCTGCAAGAGAACTTCAAACTGCTTACATCTGGAACCGGATGCAGCATCAGTACCAAAATGAATCCGGGCTATTTGTGTACACACCAAACACAAATTCTGCTCACCTTAAATTGGATCTCCTTGTTCTCGATGATTCTACTCCAGTGAGGAACATCTACAAGCTGCGGCTTGTCAGTTTTAACGTCCGAAGACAGAAGAGTGATAGCAGAGATAGTTTGCTCTTTCAAAGAAAAATGGCTGTGTGACATAAAAAGGAATAACCTTGACTTCTCTGCTAAAATAGATTTTCTCCATAACATTTAAGCTACATCATTCACTTATCCAGTTCCACTGCTAGGCATTTATCACTGAAATAAGAAAATCAGTGGTTCAAAGATATATGCATGTGTAGGATGTATTAACAGCAAATAAGCTAAAACGGCAAGTTATACTATAGGCGATTAAATAGAACATTAGTCATTGGAAATCATGGGAAGCTAATGGAAAGATGCCAATTAATGAACAAATAGGTTGCAGACAATGCAGTATGACCTCAGTCCTACATCCACACACACAAAGCACAAGGAGAGATCAAAACCTAACACCGGGTAGTGGGATTAAAGGTCATTTTTACTTTATACTTTTTAAGAAGTTAAAAGCCACATGACATTTTGCATGCAAATTACAGCCCATGCTCCAGTGACTTACTTTCTATGTATTTCAAAGACCAGAATGACCAAATCGGAAAGTTTCCAAAGTGATTATCTAGTTCAACCCTTATTTAACCAAAGAACTAGTCTGGTGCGGGCTCGTAAGCTCTGTAGCAAAAGGAGGACTTGAGCCCGACTCCCGAGTCAGTACAGTGCTTCCTCCAGCAGACCATTCCCGTCTCAGGGAGGGGTGCCGTCGGTCCCCGGCAGACGTCTAACTCCCGGAAGGGGGCCGCGGAATTACCACAAAGGGGGCAGGTGTGGGTGCCTGCGCCAAGCATTGCCCGAAACACGAAAACAGCGTCGCTAGTTTCAACACATTTTTAGAAGTTCAAACGGTTTCAGTCTCGAAAATATTAATAACTAGTGGAGTAGTAGAAAGGGCATTCCCATGATACATTTTATTTTAAGCCAATGAGGGGAGGAGCGCTAATACCCACGGAATCAGAGACCGAGAACCTGTGATCATTAATATTGGAAAGCAATCCCCAAACGACAATTGTCGCCACGCCTTTCTCCCACCCCACAACCTACTGGGATAGCGACCTTTAACAGTATTATGTTTTATGGGCAAACAATTCTCACAGAGGCAGCAGAGGATTCACAGTCCAAGGGCCCTCTCAGAACCCTCATGCTGCGAGTTTCCGCCAGGCGCTCCAAGAAACACAAACACAGTTTCTTAAACGAGAGCCCACTCCCATATACTGGCACTTTTCTGAGAAGGTCAAGGTATGAAAAGGAGACTCGCAAGAGAGAAAAGTCCAACTATTCGTCCATTTGCCCATTCCTCTTTGTAAAATCCAGAAAACCACCCACTCCTAAAAGCCCACACTTACCTTCCGGTGTCTGCGAGGAGGCTTTTCGCGAGACAGGAAACTGTCAGTTTGCGTCTCCCGGGCACTCTCGGGGGCTCATGGGAGTTGTAGTCCCGCTTTGTGGGAAATGTAGTTCCAAGAGCGTGGCATTCAGCCTAGCGTTTTCTGGTCTGGCCACTGTTTCTCCACCTAAGCCTGGCGCAGTGCAAGAATAAACAGATACGTTCCAGTGCGCTAAAATAATAAGTAACTTTTCAAAGGTCTGCCACCCTTGTACGAAAACTAAGAATAAAGAACCTGGTTCAATTTTATGCCTATGTAAATTCGTAGAAAGTTACCATTGGGAGTCAAAGAAATTTTTTAGTTCTAGAACCCATATTTAGTACTAGTAATTTTTAGTACTAGAACCAACTCAAGCTGAAAGGGGTTGTTACTGTAACCTCAAAACAAACGATTGAGGTACCTATTAGTGACTAACGGTTGGAAGTGTGGCTTCAGTACCACGGAGAGAGCATGACTAGTGGGTGGGGTTTTTTGTTTTGGTTTGGTTTTTTTGGTAGGTTTCTCTAGAGACTGATCCAAATTTTGAGCTTCCAGTTAGAAAAACTGGGCGGGGGTGGGGGGGGGGAGCGGAATCTGGTTCTTTTGTCCAAGTTCAGCAGTCAGTAATAGAAGGAATCCAGCCCAATTATGCAGCTCAGATAGGAGGTGGAGGCTGGACCTCAGGAGCAGTCTTCTGAGGACTGCTTTAGCAAGGGGCACACATCAGAACCAGAATTAAAATAAGCCAGCCTGTGGAGGCATCTCAGGCATTTAAGAACAGGGACGGAAGTTAGTACCTGAACGACTTGGCTTCCTCTCCACATCTTTCGAGTTCGAATTCATTTGCCAGACAAAACGTATCCATTCTGACCCTCCACTTCCCTAGCAATTCGCAGCCTTTCTGACTTCTCATCACGCAGAAGTGGAAATTTGTGGAGAAACTTGAGCTGAGAGCTTGAAGCGGGGAGGGGATCCAACCTGAACACTTAGAGAATTACCTGCCGAGTGAGTGGTGGGGTAAGGGAGGTAGGTACGAAGATCGTGACTGCTCAGAGACCTAAGCTGTTCCCGTCTTATCAGAGGCGAGCTGCAGGCAGATGTCCACTGCGACAGCGCCCCTCCCCGGCTTCCAACACCTGGCGCCGTGTGGGGCTGGTCAAAGAGCAGACGGCTGATGGACAGGTTCTCCTGGAGCCCCTCCTCCTCACCCGGACTTCCTGTGTTCCCCAAAGACCCTTCTCCTCCCGGGACACTGTCCCCCTCCTCCCCGAGCCCTCTCTTCCCCCGCCCCCACCCCTCCCCGCTTCTTCCCCGCCCCCCTCCTCCCGGGAGCCAGGCGCCTGCGCTGCACCGCTGGTTGTCACGGCCAGGCGCCTGCCCCTGGAGGGAGCTCATTGGCCGCAGGGCCGGGCCAGACGTTCCTCGAGACGGCGGAGGCACGTGCTGGGGTCCGAGCGGTGACCGCAGCCATGGCGTCGTTACTTTGGAAAGGCGATCCGGGGGCGGCAGAGAGCGAACATGTAAACAGCTATGTAACCGCCACTGACCCAGAGGGCAGAGGGGTGGAGGCTAGGACAGCACCCTCAGAGGAAATCTGTGGGGTGCGGTGGGGGTGGGGAGTGGGGTACCTAATGGTGGAGGGGAGATGTGGAGTGGCAAGGACTTGGAAGAAGGCACCAAAAAAGGAGACCCAAAGAGAAAGGCCTCTGGTTTGAAAGGGCAAAATGAAGACACCTGTAAGTCCTTGAAGGGAAAGTAGCAGGTTGTCGCAAGCAGGCCCTGAGTTCTGTACTCTCCCAATTTGTCCATTAAGCCTGGGCTAGCTTCCTTCCATCTACCTACCATGCGCTTTCCTAGATACCTAGTCCCATCGTGTGTGACCCCCCCGCCCGCCCCCAGGACGGCCACATTTAGACTAGAGGGCCTGCAGTACAGGGGCAGCAAGAAGTCTCCTCCGGTTTCAGGGTGATTCATACAGAAGAACTGTTCCTGAAAGGAAGCCATTTGTACGTTAACATCGCAAGGGGAACAATATTTGGGCGGTCTTTCCTGCATTCCTTCCAGCCCCTGTTAGGGGTAGCACTGTGCTTAAGTCTTGCTTCCTAATGTTGGTTGAAATTTGTGTCTTGCAATAGTTTCCAAACCTCATCCCGCACCAGAAGGACCCTCAGGATATGAAGACTACTACAGTCCCAGACCTAGGTGAGTGCTGTAGGGAAGAGCGATTGGCCTCCGTTAAAGAGCGTTGTTTTCCTCATGTTCCTGGCAACTGAAATACATCTGGCTTCCTTAATTTAACATTCAAGGCTCTCCACTACCTTCCTGGTCTTTGTACCCACCCCTCCAAGGGGCGACCCTAACTGCCAGTGCACATGTAGAATCAGAACGAGAAATTGGCATAAAGTACTTTACATTTCTGCCGGGCACTTATCTTTACACTTACTGTTTCTCTTCCATCCTTTTAGATTTCTCCATTCATAACACAGAGGAAGATGAAGAAGACGTAGGTAAGAGATCAGTTCATTTGCTTGTATCTACTAGCATTGTTTCATTTCATCATGAGCCTCGTAATGTGAACACTGTGACCTCAACTGGAGAACTGGCTTTGCCTCCATTTTCTCTATAAATAGTGCATATCAGGAGAGATGCTGACTTAGGAGTGGAGCGTATTTCTTAGAGGATGTTGAAATGAAGTTTGTAGCAATGGGTTAAGAATTCTCAGCTGGTGACACACTGAAGCTGTAGGCTTGCTTGAAGTTAGAGGTTGGTGCAGCAGCAGAGCATAAGAAACTGGATCCTCCTGAGAAAAAAGGAACTCTCAGTGCTATGTCATTCTTTCTGGAAACTTATTTATTTTTTTAAAATATGTTTGAAAAGATTTTATTTATCTATTTTTAGAGAGGGGAAGGGAGGGAGAAAGCGAGGGACAGAAACATTAATCAGTTGCGCCTTGTGTGCACCTGGGATCGGGCCCGCACCCAGGCATGTGCCTGACTGGGAATCAAACCGTCAGCCTTTCATTTCCTGGGACAATGCTCAACCAACTGAGCCACACCAGCAGGGCTCCAGAAACTTACTTAGAAGGAAGACAAGAGTAGGAGCAGTTGTCCCGCCACTAAATGGGACGGAGCAACTTACTAGGTGTCACTAAGGAAGCCTGAATTCCCCCTGCAATACTCCCTTTTTTCTTCTTGCGTTTCTAGTGGATTTGGCAGCTAATTCACTCTTAAACAAGTTGCTCCGGCAGTCCTTAGTAGAATCCAGTCACAAAGTGGAAGTCTTACAAAAGGATCCCAAGTCTCCACTCTACTCCGTGAAAACATTCGAAGAGCTGCGGCTGTGAGTGTTTTCACTCTTTAGTGGGAAATGCTGGGAAAAGCATAGCACAGAACAAGCTAACCTCCAGTAACCACACTGCCAGGGTCTCTCCTTTGTGGTCTAATGTGTAATATTGAAATGAGACATGTACACTTTGCAGTCAATTAAAATACAGCTCGAACAGGAACACTAGGATACCTGCCTTGCTCAGCAAATAGAGAACTTTTTTGTGATAAAATATTTTAATCTTCCTGTGCAGAGGGAAATTGCGAAGCCAGACAGAGTTGTACCACTACTCTCCATACCAGAACCCAGACACGGGCACTAAAATGAATACCGTTCCCAGACGGGTTTGCGTTTCCTAGGGACTTATCACTTGGCGTTAAGGAAATGTACTTTACTGATAGGCACTTTTGTAAAGGGGAAGGATCCAAAATCCTAATACGTTTTCTAAATTCAAGGGGAAGCCTGCCTGCGGTTAAAAGTTGGCTGCCGGTAATCTGCCCATGAGTCTGCCAATTAAGCGCATCCAAAACGTGCAGGCTGTTGAAGGTGGAAGCGTTCCAGCCGGTTCACTTCACCCTCCTCCTGACGAGAGAAGCGTTCAAAAAGACTGGCGCGGAAGGAGGAGCTGAGAGTGTCTTCTGGCCCTGGGCCAGACTCGATAGATGGATACATTTCTGTCTTCTCTGGAAGTGGCTGTTAAAACATCAAAGTTTGCCATTCATGAAAAAGAATGAAATAACCTCACATAGTTCTTTGCTTAGGTGGGGAAGAAAACTCTCCTGGCAGATTGATACACTTCTGTCAGATGAGGTTTTCCTCTTTCACTTGGTTCAACAGAGTGTTCACCATCAATTTCTATTTCTCATCCTGGGCGTGTAGCATAGGGCATATTTGAGGGGTCCAGTTCTATGGGCGTGTTTGTATACGTTTTGGAGTTGAGGTGTAAATTACATATTTCTAGATACTACTTTTGAAGCTCAGCTACAAAGTAGCTTCACTTGGAAATGAACCTTTCAGGTTCGTATTTCTGAGGCTACGGACCAATCACAGGGTTTAAGTGTTTGATTTTTCTTTTTCTTTTTGACAGAAAGGAAGAGTTGCTAAAAGGGATCTATGCAATGGGATTTAACAGGCCGTCCAAAATCCAAGAGATGGCTCTCCCTATGATGCTGGCGCACCCGTGAGTGTCCAGGGTGGTGGTGTTCCACTTGGTTACTTTTAGTCCCTGATGCTCTGTTCACACCCAGGCCCTTGCCTTCAGTGTACGCCCAGTGGTCCCCTCTTGTCTGCAGACCCCAGAACCTCATAGCCCAGAGCCAGTCCGGAACAGGAAAAACAGCTGCCTTCGTCTTGGCGATGCTCAGCAGAGTTAACGCCCTGGATCTGTTCCCACAGGTAAGGGAGGGCTGAGAGAGACACAGGACTGTGTTCAGTGCCAGTGATACTTTAGGGACAGGCGACATTGCTGCCACAATACGTTTACAGTAGACCTGCTTCCCTGAAATCGTAGAGTGCCGGGCAGAAGCACGGGGCCGTGACGGAGAGCACAGGCATGCTAGTCGCACCGGCTCCGGTCCCAGCCTCTCTCCTGAGGAGCTGAGTGTCTTAGGAGAGGCAGCAGATCTTTCAGAGTCTGTTTCCTTGTCTGTGAAGGTGACATCCATAAGGGCCTGGGTTGTCGTTCTCTGTTCCCCCTGAATCCGAACACCAGGCGCGGCGCCTGGCCTGTAGGAACCACTGGTCCAACACTGCACGAGCGAGCGTGCGCACGAACTTGCCTGCGAGGGCGGCCCTGCAGATGAAAGGAAGCGTGTGCGCTGTCAGCACTGCACTCGCTCGGTGTGAAGGCCCGGGCAGTCCCCCGGCCCGCCTCACCCCTTCAGCAGAGCAGGAAACTGAGGCTCGGAGAGGGAAATGCCTCACACGGGTCACAGGTGTCAGAGTGGCTGAGCGGGGACGGAATGGCTCTGGCCCTGTCCCGGTCCAGCTTCCTCTCGTGGACAATATCTGGTCACTGCTCCCTCCCTCCAAACTGTTGTCATCCCCTCGTTGGACACGCCGAGTGCCTAAGCACTGAGTGCGCCCCATGCGGCGGGGAGGACAAGGGCTCTCCAGGCAGCTTCCACTCTGCTCGCCGGGAGAAGCTGAGGGTGTGACTAGCTGGAGCCAGGCGTGTGAAACCACGTGTGTGTGTGTGTGTGTATTTTAAATCCACACCTGAGGGATGTGTTTATTGATTTTGGAGAGAGAGGAACGGGTAGGGAGGGAAGCGGGGCAGGTAGGGAGAGAGAAATATGGATGTGAGAGAGAGATCAGTCGGTTGCCTCCTGTACGTGCCCTGACCGGGGATCAAACCCTCAACCTTGTGGTGTGCGGGACTGTGCTCCAACCACCTGAGCCACCGACCAGGGCAGAAATCACTCTTTTTAAAAGACCAGGTCTGTGAAATTTATATTTGGAGTTTGATACTATGAATAAAAATTCTTCAGGAAAAACTGTATTTGAGAAAAGATTTTTACCACTTTAGCCGTGTTT